AAGTCAGTTTAATTTATTTATGTAGCATATTTAAAAACAAATGTTGAGCAACATGCAACAGAACTAGAGAAAATAGATCATTTGATTGTTAATTACAATCGAATAAAACAAGACATCGAAAAAGCATATAAGAAAATTAATAAAGAAAGAGAACATCTGAATGAAAACAAGGAAAATGCTAAAGAAAAGAGATGCTGGGCTTAAAAGAATTTAAAATTCAATTCTGTACTTTTCTGGCAGCTGGTGAAGAGAGGCCAGTCCTGGGGAGGCACGGTCCACTGAGGAGTCTCACCGATGTGGTTTGGACCAGCTGCATGTAAGGTGACACAGCCTGACCACAAACCTCACATAGGAAGCAGGTTCTTACCTTCACATTTGAGGCCCTGTCTGACTAGCCCCCACAGCATCTCGCCACAGTCGTCGCAGAAAGCCGGGGCCTTGTATGAGTGGACGTAGAGCGTGTGAGGCCGGATCTGAAAGTCCTCGGTTGTGGCGAGAGCTGAAATGAGCAAATACAGAGCAAAAACTTGAAATCTGTGTACTGCCTCTGTTGTGTACAGTCTTTTCTGGTGTCTGTGCTGTTCTGAGCTGGTAAACTGAACATCATCCGGTTTTGGATCCTTATCACCTTGGGATTTAGGAAACTCAGATGGATAATTTTCTGACATTTTCTACCAAACAGATAATTAAGAAAGTAACTGATGTAATAAACCAATAATGAAGATATTTGTTAGCTGCAGGCCTTTTTTGTACCATTTTGCTTTACAGATTGTAATTACAGGTTTAAGCAGCTGTACTGTGTTGATGTCCTGCAGTGATGCATTCAGGGGGCGTCAGAATCCTAATATGGCAGGTAACTGGCTTGTCAATAATAATGAAAAGAAAACTATAACTGAAAGCCAAAACTCAGAAAGGAAAGCTTTTTTCTCCTTGTGGTAAAGGCTTCAGCATTTCTTAAAGCCAGACATCAGCACTAGAGTTGCGTTCTGTAGCAGCAGGAACTGTGACAGTAATAAAGAAATAAACCAGCAGATATACAAGGTTTTGTAGTAGCAGCAGCAGCAGGAGGAGGAGGAGGTGAGGGAGGAAGTGGTTCTGGGTTCAGGCTGCAACTTCGTTTACTTCCTCCTCTGTAATTTGAACCCACCACTGCTCTATCTGGGCGTTCAGCGGATAAGGTGTCACTTTTGGTTTTCTTACAACCAACCCGGCCTGTTGACACGACCCAAGAAATGACAATCCTATACACAGTATTATGGTTTGAATGTGGATGGTGATCAGAGGTGACGCTGCGGCAGAGGAAACCTCAGTGCTCTGCCCTCAGAGGGGGATTGACAAGATCAAGGAAACAGACAAAACTAGGTAAAATAAACAAATGAAGTAAAGTAAGTTCCTAAAAGAAAATATCAAAAAGCTGGAGAAACATCACAGCTTCAGGCCTCTGCCACACAATGTAGGACTCATTTATTCATAACAATGACTAACACCATTTGTACTAATAATTGTGATACTGCTAATAGTGATAATAATTAAACATTACACGTCTGCAAGAGTCTTTTAATCATTATTTTGAAGATTTTTGCACTTTTACTTTTCTCCAACCATGTTTATTCTTCAGATACCAAAGAGGTTGGGAGTAGGATTGTGACTAAATACAGAGAGACTGGTTTAATGATATATAAATTATTATTAAGATGTAAACATTTGTTGCAGAGGTCACTGCACCAAAGACAGAGTCCCGATACTTGTGTAATGCTGGAATCAGGGTCAGGTTACCTGCATTAGGGCTAACTATGAATAAAGTGTTACTGCTTACCGGAGAGCACCACCTCAACCAGGTCGCCCTCATGGATCTCCTCCGCTGAGGTGAGACGCTGCAGGATATTGTCCGAATTCAGGTCGTGACGGAAGAGCAGGATCTTGTCAAACATCCCGAAAAATCCACATTCAGGGAACTGAGGAAGAGGAGGAGATCAGGCACGTTACTACAGCTGGCAAAGGAAATGGTTCCATTTGAGCGCAAACTACACAGAAGATGAATGAGTGCACCAACAACTGAAGTGTAGGAGACAGTTTAACAAAAATCAATCTATAAGATTATGGCAATGTGTTCTGGGTTGACAGTTTGGCCTGAGGGAGGCGTCAGAGAAATGGTTCAGGATTCATTCTCAAATCAAAAAGTTAAGCAAACTGAAAATGAAGCTGTAACAGATATTTACATGGATCAAAGCGCTCTTAAGCAAGACAATACTCCAACCTCCCAACCTCTGACCCCTCCAGTAAGATAACCTGATGTCCTGAGTCAGCAGATTCTCATCAGAACAACAACCTTTCTACTGAGTGAGACGTTTTTGTTTTCATGACTTTATCCTGTTCTCAAAGTTAACCAGTGCATAACCTTTTCACAGGAGGAACACATGACATGTGGTGAAACTAATTCACAGAAGTACCACAATGGGAAACTTTGAGCTGCCGCTGACCAACCACCTCTGAAAGTCTGGTTTTAAAAACTGGATTTCTTGGTTCAAAGTTAACCAGCAGCCAAAACAACGAGGGCTTTCCAGCAACTAGAGCTTGATTATTCTTTCCAAGGAACCTCAACATGATGGTTAAACAGCTGGTAGTGAAGACAAACAGCATTTGTACTGATGACGTGATTTGCAGTAACAGCATAACATGAAGAAGAAGAATCTCTGGTTTGGTCCTTTCTGGACCTTGTTCCTGTGCACTGTGACGTGGCTTGTTCAACCTCCCTGCGTGTTGATAAAATAATCAGAATGTGTTAGACAAAGTAACATTTTCATGGAATTTACCAAAATGTTTTTAATTAAACCAAAACAAATTTTTAAGCTTAAGTTTTTTTTTGTCAAACAACTAAGAAGTCTTCCTAATCATAACAAAATGACAGTTGAACTGGAGGATGGTGAAGAAGGTGTGTGCTGTTTTGATGAAGTGTGTGTGCAATGGATCTGGGGCTCAGCAGCCTCTGCAGCCTGCAAACGGGCAGGTGGAGCAGCTTCCTGCCCCGAGCTGCTCTCTGTGTTAGCAGGATGTTAGCGGTGTGCAGGGAGCATGCAGCATGGATCCTGCAGTGCAGGCAGGCAGCAGGAAACCAAAACGACAGGTGATGAGACAGAAGCTGCTCGGATCACATTAACATGTACCACACATAAACAGAGGCGGTCTATCATGAATTATGGCTGAGGTGCTGTCACTGACCCCCGGCAGCCATTAGTCATGTGGCTACTACACAACACCACTCAGACAGAAACACAGGAAACAGGGCGGTCTGCTACAGAAGAAGAAAGGGAACAGTCACTCTGTTATTTCTGTACTGATGATTTCTCTCAGCAGCAAAAGGATGAGCTTCAAACTAAGGTCCATGGACAGATAATGAGACAATGGGTCCTTGGGCCCACACATGTAAAAGTCCCACAACCCCCACAAAGGAGGAAAACCCCCAGACTGAAAATCAGCCTAGTAGTCATTTTGTGTCCTGTAGTAATCCCTCTGTTTCCTGTTAAGTTTTTTTTTTTTTAATCTTGCTGTAGTCATTTTGTGTCTGTGTGGTCATCTTGCAGTTCTAGTTGTTATACCTTCCTTTACAGCTGGTTTGCATCTTGTTGTGATTGTTTTACATCTGTAATCACTTTGCATCTCTTTGTCACTCAGGGGTATCCAAACCTTTGCATGCAACTGAACTTGACAAGCTTTATTCTAATGTCTCTTTAAAATGATACAAAAACAATTTAGAAAAACTGTGGATTAAACACGTCTGCACGTCTTCTGATCCTGCAGCAGCTTCAAAACCAGCACTCGCATCCTGCGTGAATCTGAATCTGAGGTGAAGACTCTTCTGTTTGGCTGTGACCATGACACATTTGGACTTCAGCCAATCACATTACAGCGGGTGATCAGCTGCTGGCTTCTCTGGAGGTGAGTAGAGAAATACACTCAGCTGAGTTAATGGATGAAAGTGTGTGTTTAATACACACTTATCCCCTCTTTATGGTTAATCCTCCATTAACCAGGCTTAACCCACACACGTACACTAACACACAACCCTTTTCATCTCCAACCCTTCTCTGGCGCCATCACCAAACCAAAACCAGATTTCTGATGACTCCACAGCCTCGTTCTAGTCACCAGGGTCAATAAGGCCATAACCTCCAGGCTGTGCCATGACCTTTGACTCCTCCTACAGGAGCTAGAGCCAGGGCCCATTGCTTTTACTGAGCTGTGCAGCACTCGTTGCATGTCTATGGAGCCTAGTAATAATGGTTCTAAAAGGAAAGACGTGGCACTCAATGTTCAGCCCACAAACACAAAGAAAACATATTGTAACTTCATGTTAAAACATGATTTATTATTTCAGGTTTCAATTTTCTTGATTTACTTCTGGTATGTAACGTGACGGAGGGAAAGAACTTCCAAAATACTGTACTCTTCCAGTCAGATCAGGCAACATGAAAATAAGACTACAGCTCTGTTTGGTCTGGACTTTATCTCTAAAGGCAGTGCAGTGATTTTGCCTGCTCCAATCAATGATTTTAACTTTTGTGTGTAATTTTTAACCCCTGCCCCAGTAATCATTACAGCCTCAATTACCTACTTGTTTTTCAGTCTTTTTCTTCTGTAATTTAAACTGTCCACAGCAACAGTCTTGCGTGTTACATTTGGTTTTTCTCTGTAGAAAAAGCTACTGGTCCTTCTACCGTTCAGGTGTTTCTGCTGCCAAAAACAAAAACTTGGAAACAAATATAATTTAATCAGGAGATCAAGACACCAAATATGCTATCGTAATGTCAGAAATGTACCAGACTCCCCTTTTTTCCATGGCTTGTATTTGTTTACATGTTGCTGCCATTAAAATATGCTGAATTAGCTATTAGCAGCTCCTGTCTGCAGTGCGCCCAGAGGTGTACAGACAACTGTCACTGAATTATTCTGATACTAAAGAAAACTTTAAAATGAAATATTTCTCAAGCAAGTTCTGAAATGCCTTGTTTCTGTGATTTTGAAGTTACTTTATGAACATTTCTTCTTGACTTCAAAGATAAAAATATTCTCGGGAGTGTGAGTGACACTTAATGATACAGTATAAATGTGTGCCGTCTGTTTGCTGAGCTTTGACTGAGTCATGACTCCATGGAGAAGAACAATTTCTGACTGTATTCATCTCTTTCAGTGTCTTTGCCTCGCCTTCAACTCTCTCTAGCTAAGTAACAGCTTGTGAGGCTGTACTCGGGCTAAGCTAACATCAGCATAGCAACACACTCACAATGACACTGCTAACATGCTAATGCTAACCCAGTACAGTACTTACCATATTCACCATTTTAGCTTAGCATGCTAACATTTGTTAATCCTAATGGGAATGTTATCTGTTTTACAGGTATTCTGTCATAAACAAAGTACTGGACAAATGAAATGTTTGACCTGGCGAAGACAGAAGAAACCTCGGATTACTTAAGAATGGGAAAAAAAAAAAAAAAATCAGCAACTATATAATAACTGATTAATCGTTTGTCATGTTTCAAGCTAACATTTGTTGGTTCCAGCTTCTCAAATTTGAGAATGATGCTTTTGTTTAACATAAATGATCATAAACTAAATAGCTTTGTGGTGTGTACCATACAAATGAATAAACAATGAATCTCATTATGTCTCCCTGGGCTGTGGGAAAATATTTTCTAACATTTTATAGACAAAACAATCAAGAAAATAATCAGCAGATTAAAATCAACAATCAAAATAGCCATTAGTTATAGTATACACATTATTTCACATATTATTAGTACTAGTAAATAAAGCCCTCAGCCGTGAACACTTCTACATTTCTGTCCACAGTTTTTTTTTTTTTTTTTTTTTGTAATATAAAAATAGAAACTCTTCATGTATCATCTATTTAATGTTGACTGGCTAACAGCAGCTTATCATGTAATGTTTTTCCACACATCTGGCAACAGGTTATAAAAGCATTCGGCAGTGATGTGGAGAGCACAAATAAATAAAAGAGCCATTATCTTCCACTACAGAATGTTAAGAGCCTTTCAGCTCCAATAAAAGTCTTCAACTCTTCCGCAGCACATATGCATTTAGCCTGGAGGGACAGAGCTCAAATGGACTGATGGGAAATGTGAAGGTAAGCAGCCGCGCTCCTGTTTTCCCAGTATCCGCTCGCTCTGTCACCTCATTCAGGAAACAACAGGAAGCAGTGCTGAGTGGGTCAAGGTTTTCCGAGTGTGTGTGGGAGTTTCATTCATGCACAAAGTTAAAGGCTAAAATCAGTGCTGAATGAAACAAATGAAAAAACGTGCACACACCTGCACCTGCAACTGTTCTTCATCAACGAAGACAAGTGAGATTTTAAATTGGTTTAAAGCCCATGAAACACACACAAAAAGAAACCTCTCAAAATGCAGCCAGTTATAAAATACTGCACATCTACTGCCAGTTGACAGCAGATAAATAAATAAGCAGATAAAACAGTTTTTGCTAATACCCACTGTACTACTTTATATCTCAACACAAATATGCACAGAACAAGACTAAGCATTTACAGCCATGCTAGTGGCTGCGTTCAGCAGTACTTTGAGCTAACTGCTATTGTCAGCATGCTAACATGCTTATTTTTTAGCAGGTATAATATTTATCATTATATACATTTGTTTAAGTAGCAATACACAAACTTCAGCTTATGGGAATGTTATTAGTTTTGCAGATAAAAAATGATATAAATTGAAATGAATCCGAAAACATCAACCTCATGCTGTCACAAAATGAAACACCAAAAATGAAAAAAAAAAATAAATAAATAAATCACCATCTGGGAACCATGAATGTCACCGTTTGACTAGATGTCAGTCTGGATCAAAAATGGATGAAAAGGCCAAAGACAAGAGTTTATCTCCTTAATATTACAGCATTACCAACTGTATAACAGACACTGAGTAAATCACTGGCCTACACACGGACACACAACTTCAATTTGTCACTGTGACCACAACAACATCCTCTTTCCTCGATGTGTTTTAAAGTGACCTCAGTGTTTCCTCTGGATTCATTTAGTAGCAAAACAACAGCACTAAACAGAGTCTCTCAAATATCTCAGAATCAGAATCTGCTTTATCGGCCAGGTGTGTCGGACACACGAGGAATTTGACTCTGGTACATCGGCTCTCAATGTGCATGTGCATATCCCCGTGCAAGGGGCAAGTAAACAGTAAACCAACATAAGGCTGTGTAATATAACAAGATAAGCTGTATTAACAATCTCCAGATTTAATGGACATATAGAACTATAGACACCCGATCCATCATCAGCTGAGCGGACATAAGTAGCTATCAGTGTAACCAAAAACTCTTTATCACTGTTTGTTAGATCTGAAATCTTCTAATCAGTTGCTTCCACAGTCGAGGCTAGTTGGAGGGATCGTGCCTTTTCAGTAGCTGCACCAAGGCTCTGGAAACACATTTCCTTAATACAAATGGGATTTTGTTTGATTTAGTAAATAAGTAAAGTTTAGATGAATGTGAGCTGAAAGCATAGACACTGTAACAGGATTAAAATTCTTTTATGATGATCCTGATGTTCAGGATCAGAACTCAACTGGTAACTTGTGCTTTTTTAAGGATTTTTTTTTCTAATGAGACGATAAATGGTGCTTGAAAAGTAAAGTTAGGGTCTGAAAAGGTTAAAAAAAAAAAGACCGTGTGAGAACGAGAGACGCTGTTAATGTCTTACCTAAATGAAAATAAATGACAGGATTAAACCTCTTCACATAACATTAAAAATCCCACACTGAGCGAGGCACATCCAGCTCCACCTATTACCTATGGACGAGCCGTCTTTCTTTAATTCCCATTTCTGTCATCATTGTCATTGATATACTCCAGTTTAATACATTTGCAACAGTAGGAACTGTGATTAAAATAAGTTTTATCTTTTTTTTTTCTGTTACTGCTGTAAAACATCCTGATCAATGCACAATCATATAAATACAAAATGAGAATGTCTGTGAGTTAGTGATATAAAAAAAGAACAATAACAACAACAACAACAAAAGTGGGAATATAAATAAATACATATGCAGGTTGAGTGACCATTAAAACACATCTCTCTCTCTTTTCTTCACCTGAATCGCCAGCTGACCTTGGTAACCGTGGAAACCAGTAGAGTGGAGGATGCGGGCCCTCACATCGCCGTGGCAACGGAGAAAGAGATGGTCATTATGGTTTTAAATGCTAGTCAGGGGCCCGTGTACTGTAAGTACTTATTATTTTTTTATTTATTTGAACTTAAGTGTTATTTATTTGCTACTATTTATTTGTTTCACCTTTTTTTTTAATCATTCTGTTATTTATTTTGCTCATCCGATGTCTAGAAAAGTTAGATTGGTGTATTTTTTTACTTTAGTATCAACTAATTTTAATTTATTTTACACACAGAAGATGATGTCCATCTTAAAACTTTGTTCATTGCACAACAAAACTAAATAGTTTTTCTGAAAAGTAAACTGATGTCTTTCAGTTAGGCCCATTTTAGGAGTGTGATACAGTTGCAAGACTAACAAGAACTTGCTAACTAAATATTCCGTTTTATTAATAAGTTCTACTATAAAAGATATGATTATATAATTCCCACAAAAATCTTGTTGAGTACTTTTGACGTGCTCTGCAGTTTTTACAATAATGCCAACTGTGGCATACTGTATTTAACCTGCTGTCAGCTGGGAACTCAAGCACAGCGATAATCTTCTGGCTCCAACTCGTCCTTTGTCTGACAGTGTTACGGAAGCTACTTTGAAAATGTAGCTTTTCAAGTTACCAATTACTTCACGCTGGAAAAAATTGAAGTACAGCAAAGCTACTGAATTCTAGTTTGTTAACTAAAGCTACTTAGAAAAAGCAGTTTGTAAAATAATGCATCCATCGATCCTGAAACTTTGTCTGCCATTTGGCGCTTGTTTGCTGAAAACAGCTGTGAGCTGCAGCTGCAGGGCGGCGAGACTGAACCAAAACAGTAAACATTTGACCGACACTATGAGCTAACAGGCTATAAAGCTCAGTGAAGCTGCAGACGACCACTCGCTGGGAGTCCATTTGAATCAATGCTGATATGGAAGACGCTGAGTTTCATTACACAATCCAGGATGGGACTGTATGTATGTGTACAGCGGAGGTGGTGGGGGTGGTGACCTGCAGAAGGGGGACTTCCCTATTCGCCCCCACCCCCAAAAAAAAAAAAAAAAAAAAAAAAACACACACACACAGCAGTAGAGAGGTGGCGCAACAGCAGTAAATCAGACCTGAAGCTTCAATCCACCCACAGCTGCAGCTCGCACAAAAGGAGGAAAAGAAAATTCCAGTCATGATGTCATTTTGCAGGCCGAGCGCTGCAGCCTACTCTGGGTTGTAGATCAGTTAGGAAAACTAGCAGAGAACTGTAGGTCTGAAAAAGATTACGGCCAAAAAGATTATCACAACTTGTTACCCCCATTGTGATCAATATTAATATCTACTGACTACGACAGTGTGTTACGGGGGAGTGTCACTGATTGTAAAACCTTTTTATTTGATGTTCAAAGGCTGTGTTCAGTTTGGGATTGAATCCTAAATAAATCAAATTACTGTACAGACAGGTGACAAATGAGAGGAGCCTCCAGACTGAGTGGAACCCAAACAACAGGGTCCACTGATCAATCAGCTGATCACTGTCCTGATGATCTGATTGATCTGTTTATCCCCAGAATGTCAGACACTGGGGAAAAAGTCCCACTGTGACTCTCCAGAGCCAAAGGTGGCATCTTCATGTCTTGTTGTGTCCAACCAACAGACCCACAGAGACTCAGCTGATTCTCATGTCTGACAAAGAAAAGCATCAGCTCCTCACATTAAAGAAGGTGGAACCAGAACATGTCGGTGACTGTTGCTTCTAAATAGCTGAGGTTCATTTTCTACCAGTGAACTGACTCATGGCTTCAGCTCTAGGTCACTGAATGGCTTCATGAGGACGACAGTGGGTTGGACACAGTGGGGGGATCTGGTTTGGAAGGAGGATGTTTCCTCCTCAGACAGAGGAGACCTGACACTGCTGTGGAGACACAGCCCTGACGAGGCCCTGCTGGACGCTGGGTGGTGGTTTTTACTTTAATCTGTGACCCAGCTGTATCACTTATTAATGACAGGACTCTCCACCTGCTTGTCAGTCAGATTAGAGGCTTCATGGTGAGAACTACCAGCAGCACTAGAAACAAACTGACCACCCTGCTGCTCCTTCAACACAACATGCAGCTGTGAAACAGGAAATGAAAAGCGCTGACACAGCAACTCCAACCAGGAAGTGAAATTCCCTGTGAAAAGACTTTTCCTCTGCTGTACACAACCACATGATAGAGATGACAAGTGAAAGTATGAACTGTTCAGCAAAGCAACATGAGGATGGTGAAGTGTCCAACAGTTTGGACCAAATTCACTTTCTGTCCCAATAATCAATCAATCAATCAATCACAGATTGAAGGTTGGAAACATAACAACAGTGGACATTTCAGGAAGAACTTCACATGAGAGCGTCATTGGGTTTTTCCCTCCCTGACATCATTCCTGCAAACCAGACGAACCCATCTGGTTTGTGTGTCTTGCTTGTGGTGTGTGTGTACATGTTTTCCTGTGGTCGTGTGGACAGCTTTTAGATTGAAACCATAACTCAAAAGGCTTCAAAGGGCTGTTTGAGGGTTCAGACTTGATTTTAGAGTTCAGGTTAGAATCAGGTCTAGGTCAGGGTCAGGGACAAAGGGATTCATTATGTGAGTGTTGGTGGAACAGTGCTGGAAACACAGGTGGTGCGTTCAAAACGAGGGGTAAAGTGCTGGAAACACAGGTGGTGCGTTCAGCGCGAGGGGTATAACCAGCAGATGGTGAGAGATAAAGTCGAGCTGAGAGCAGATGAGAAGCACAAGACCCAGAACGTTACAGCAGCTTTACCTAAACTCTGTGCCCAGTACAACTGAAGTGGAGAAAGTGAACAGCGTGAGCCTGAATAAGTCAAAGCAGTGCAGTGGCTATTGTTTGACAATACACAAATTGTGGTATTTCCCTAATCCTCAGACTCCTCCAATGATCCAGAATCAAAAACAATGTCCATTTCTTGGGTACAACAGTTTCTTCTTCACATAAAGATGGTGACAGGAAATGACATCGTCACTTTGGGCCAAAGTTGAGTGTAGCGCTGCATCGGTCAGCCATGTTTAACCATTTACAGTGTGACTCACTGTCAATCACAGCTGACCGCTACAATGCTGTGCTCGACTTTCACCCCAAGTGAGAGAGATGACATCATTTCCTGTTGCCATCTTTGTTTATGTGAAGAAGAAATTACCGTACCCAACAATGGGCTAAAATTAGATTTTTTTGGACTGGGCCAGATTATTTTTGATTCCAGATCATTGGATCATTACACCTTTTAAACTCATTCAAGCTCATGCACAGTTATAAGGTCTGAAGGGACTCATGTGACATCATAGAAGAGAGAAGCCAGTCAGTTGAGTCTGTAGCAAAACCTTTTACAGTGCTGCATATTGTTGTCTGTTATTGCATTTGATAATTCATACTCAAAGTAGGACTGAAGTGACATTCACTACATTTCAAACATTTTAAAATGTACCTGCACCGCTTTGCATTTTGTGACTTTCAGCCGAATAAATCACTATTTTTCCAGTCAGATATTATATCATTGAAGATTTTTTAAAGATAGTGTTAAAATATTGTGTATCGCCTTGTCTCCTGAGCTAAGTGTATCGTCACACCTGTAATAATCAGTGATCAGAAGCAAAAAATATACTCTGCAAAATGTACCTTCTGATCCACGATGGAGCAGACGAGCTCCCTGAGAGCAGACAGTGAGTGGTCTCCAGGGTCGAGGGTGACCGTCTCCCTGGTGAGACCGATCTGGAGCAAGAAGGAGACTCCATGGATGGACCCCCGCGAGTCTGTGAGGCTGGGGGCTCTC